AAAATTAAGTAATGATAATGATAATAAGAATAACAATGATAATGATAATATATAAATAAATAATATAATAATAATAATAATAATAATAATATATATAATAATAAATAATAATAATTATATATCAATAATAATGATAATAATAATAATTGATAATAATAAATAATAATGGATAATAATAAATAATATGATTGATGATTAATAATGATAACAAAATAATATAATATAAAACAATATATGATAATAACAATAATAATTATGATAATAATGATAATAGTCTTAATGATGATAGTAACAATAACAACTGCAACAACAACACTAATAATAATAATAATTATCGTTACTATTATCACTATCATTGCATAAGTATTATCGTCATTATCATTGTCATTAGTAGTATTTTTATTATCATCATCATCATTATCATTATCATCATTACTATCATTATCATTTTTATTTTTTCTTATCATTATTATAATCATGAATATCATCATTGTTATTTCTTTTATCTTTATCATTATTGTCATTGTTATGTTTCATTTTGTTATCATCATTTTTATATTTATTATCATTAGTGTTATCATTATATTTTTATCACTATTATCATTAACATTATTATTACTATTATCATAATGATAACAATAATCCAAGTAACTTCTACTGCGCTACTACTACTCTAACTAATAATAATATAATAATAATTAATAATTATTTTATTATTATTATATTATTATTATTAATTATTATATATTATATTATTATATTATTATCATTATTATCATAATAATGATAATAATAATCATGATAACAATAGCAATGATGATAATAATGATGATAATAGAAATCATAATAACAATAATAATAGTTGTAATGATAATGATAATAAAAACAATAATAATGATAATAATAATAATAATAATGATAATAATAAACAAGAAGAACTATGACAATACTAACGATAACAGTAATAAAATAACACATAATAATGATAATAATAATGATAATAATAAATAAATTATTATAATAATAACAATAATAATTAAAACAACAACAATGATAATACCTAAATAGTAATAATGATAATAATAATAAGATGATGAAGATGATGATGACAATAAGAGTAATGTTAATATCAATAAGCATAATAGTTATAGTAACAACAACATCATCATCGTCACCACCACCACCATCAGCAATAATGATAATAATATCAATATGATAGTGATAATAATATTAGCGATGATATAATATAATAATAATGATACTACTACTACTACTTACTACTACTAACTACTACTAATAATATTAATAATAATAATAATAATAATAATAATAATGATAATAATAATAATAATGATAATAATAATAATGATGATAACAATAACAATAATAATGATAATGGCAGTCAGTCTTCTCATCATCATAACAATAAGGATTGAAGAAGACGAAGGCGATAGCGTTTATGATCATGAGAATATGAACAAGAGTCTTAACGAAAACATACAGCAATTTAATTCAGAAAGAGTATGAACTCACATCGCCCCTGCCTGCTGCCAGATGTCTGACGTCGGCAGCGCGAAACAGGATGGTCTATAACCCCAGGGCGTATCGAGATATCAATTATTGTCATACGAGATAAGATAGATATGGACCATAAATAATGAAAACTATGATGTTGTATGTAATGATAACACTGACAGTAATACTGATAGTAGGTTTATTTACATTGGTTACAGTGTTAGAGTCATATACACGTATTTAGTGCATGGAAATGAGTATATTGCACAAACCATCGACATCATACTCATACAGATACGTATCGTGTGTCAGTAAAAAATCATATATGATTTATGTTAATAGATAAAGATGATACATCGATTAGCCAATAGCATTTCGATAACATCTGTACGATCTGAGAAGACGATAAACTTCGGTCATGCAGCAACTCGAAACAAAAGACAGCTGACAAGCGCGACGGAACTGAAGTCACGACGTCGACTTCATCTTGGAGAAACACGACGCTGCTAATCCTGAGGAATTCGTTACAAGGTTTCTTCAACCAATGGCTCCCGGGATCTCAGCTGAAGAGGAAAAGGAATATTGAATCATTAATGAACAGCGATGAAAAATCTTACATTGCAACTGCATATAGATGTCTTTTCTTTTTTGTATCATTGTCCCCTGCTGTGTTGTGAAGTTCAAGGAAAGAAAATTATTGGACTTCTTCCTTCCTAATGAACTTTATATGATATTATCACAATTTCTTGTCTTTTAAGCAGCTGAGAATTTATATATTATTCCTTTAACAAAAAAATAAATAGTTCCTTTTACTACAATTTGTAATTAATGCATTATTGCTTTGTGAATCGATAGGAAATAGACATTATCGCTGAACTATGAATGGGAAATGATATTGCTGTCCTTTGATAAAACATCAGTGCGGGGATCTGCAGAGGACAGCGTACATCACATATCAGCATCTGCGTCTTTCAATTGGTTTCTAGCTTTGGTTTTGATACATACTGTAGCCGAGAATCCAACCTTGCAACGGTAAGCTGTGACAAAAGGCATTAAGAGCTCCATATGAAAGAATGGGATATTTCTCCTCTAGTTTGACCCCAAAGGTAGCCAGCTCTTCATGGTGATAATGATAATCTACATGTAGTTTTATCTCTCTTAATCCAAGAAATTCGAGGTCTCCTACCGTCTTCCTGTCACGATCACCTCTCCTTCACCAGTAAATGGTTTATCAGGTTTTTTAAATCATCGTTTAGCTGGTTATTAATCCATTTACTTATCCATTTATTATTGCCATTCACTAGTTAACTCCAAAGAACTATTACTTTCAGCAAGTACCTCGTTACCCCGAATTTGAGAGCCAGATATATGGATATGTATATTTCATGACTAGAAAGGGATGAGGAATAATACTGGCATACCGTCAAATGTCAACACAGATTTGTATAGTTACTAAACCATATCAACCACTGATTAAAAAAAAAAAACACATATAACAAAAAAAAAACACACAAACAAGTAAAACAACACAAGCCAGAGAACAATAACCTACGTACCGACTGCATATAAGCATAGATCAAGTAGGAGAGCACAACCTGCCACGTAAAGTTAAAGAGCACGCCCACTATAGCCAGGGTGGGCACGTAGTCACTCTTTATCATGCCCACGGCGCTGCCAATGAGACCCAGCGCTGTCAGGATGGCTATCCAGGCGAGCCAGACAGCTAGCCACTTCCGACACTCCTGTAAGGGGACGAAGCAGTTAGGTTATGGCTTGCTTTTGTTATTGTCTGGATCGTCGGTGTTATTCTCGTTGTTTCGCTGTTGTTGTCATTGTTTATTATCCTCATTGTTTTCATTTACTATTGTTATTACCATTATCATTATTGTTTTTATCATTATTTTATCATTATTTTTTTGTCATTCCTATTACTATTATTATAATCATTAATATCATTATGATCCTCATTTTCATCGCTACCGTTATCATTATTAGCTTCATAATTACTATTATTATCATAACCATAATCATCATTTATATTATTCTTTTCCCTCTCTATCCACTAATTCCTTTTCTTGTCCCTCTTTCTTTCCCAATCCCTATTCTCCTATGCTTCTCTCCCTTTCCCTATATCTCTTCTCTCCTTCTCCCTCTCCCTTTTCCAATCCCTCGTCCTCTCCCTTTCATCCTCTTCTTCTTCTTCCTTTCCCTATATCTCTCCTCTCCTCCCTCTCTCTTTCCCAATCCCTCGTACTCCGCTTCTCCTTTCCTTCTCCCTCTCCCTTTTCCTATATCTCTCCTCCTTTTCCTTCACCCTTTCCCAATCCCACGCCCTTCCCCTCCCCCTCTCCTACCCCACCTTTCTCCTTACCGTCCAAATACCAAATATCTCTCCTCCTCTTCTACCTCTCCTCCTCTCTCTCTACCCTTTCCCCTCCCCCTTGTCTCCCTCTCTATTCCCCATCTTTCTCCTTACCTTCTAAATGACATTTATCTCTCCCCTTCTATATCTCCCTTTCCTCTCCCTCTACCCTTTCCTCTCCCCTTCCTCTCCCATTCCCCATCTTCCTCCTTACCTTCTAAATGACATTTATCTCTCCCCTTCTATCTCTTTCCTTTCCTCTCCCTCTACCCTTTCCCCTCCCCCTTCTTTCTCTCTATTCCCCATCCTTCCCCTTACCTTCTAAATGACATTTATCTCTCCCCTTCTATATCTCCCTTTCCTCTCCCTCTACCCTTTCCCCTCCCCCTTCCCTCTCTCCCTATTCCCCACCTTCCTCCTTACCTTCTAAATGACATTTATCTCTCCCCTTCTATCTCTTCCTTTCCTCTCCCTCTACCCTTTCCCGTCCCCCTTCTCTCTCTCTATTCCCCATCCTTCCCCTTACCTTCTAAATGGCATTTATCTCTCCCCTTCTATCTCTCCCTTTCCTCTCCCTCTACCCTCTCCCCTCCCCCTTCTCTCCTCTCTCTATTCCCCATCCTTCTCCTTACCTTCTAAATGACATAAATCTCTCCCCTTCTATATTTCCCTTTCCTCTCCCTCTACCCTTTCCCCTCCCCCTCTCTCTCTCTCTATTCCCCACCTTCCTCCTTACCTTCTAAATGACATTTATCTTCCCCTTCTATCTTTCCCTTTCCTCTCCCTCTACCCTTTCCCCTCCCCCTTCTATGTATATTCCCCATCCTTCTCCTTACCTTCTAAATGACATTTATCTCTCCCCTTCTATATTTCCCTTTCCTCTCCCTCTACCCTTTCCCCTCCCCCTTCTCTCTCTCTCTCTCTATTCCCCATCCTTCTCCTTACCGTCCAGATGCCATAAAAGAGAATAGGGATGAAGACGAGGACGGTGATTGATCCTGTAGCGAAGGCCCCCCACGCTTCGGGATAACCTGCAGGAGGAGGTCACAAGCATGAGTCTCGCCGCGGTCAGCCAGGCAGCGAGGAGGTAAGGGTGGCGTGTTTGGTGATGTGATGGCTTGTCTTGGTGAGTTTATGATGGGGTTTGCTAATCTTGATATCTAATCTTTTTTCTTTTTTTTTTGTAAATTCTTGTTTTGGTTTTTTTAGTGAATTCCAATTAAGTTTATTTTTCTTCATGAGTTTAAGAAACATATTTCTCCATGAGTTAATGCAATGATTAATTTTCTGGATGAGTTATAAACTATTACTTTTCTTCCGATTGATAAAATGACCTGAAATAAAAAGAAAAAAATAAACCATAACCACGCCCCTCTTCCTCGAGCTGCCAGTGCGAACGTTAATACATTTCTCTCTCTATATATAAAGGTCTTCAATAATGTATGCTTATATGTGTGTTTAAGCAGCCTGTTAGATTATGGATATATAGTGAGATATGAATACAAATTCACACACACATGCACACACGCACACGCGCACGCACACAAACACACACACACACACACACACACACCACACACACACACACACACACACACACACACACACACACACACACACACACACACTATATATATATATATATATATATATATATATATATATACTATATATATACAAATATATATATACATTATATATATACATATATATACATATATATATATAATATATATATATATAATAAAATATGTACATACATTACACACACACACACACACACACACACACACACACACACAACACACACACACACACACACACACACACACACACACAACACACACAACACACGACACACACACACACACACACACACACACACAAACACACACACACACACAACACACACACACACACACACAATACACAATATATACTATATATTTACTATAATATATATATATATATATATATATATATATATATATA